TGATCATTATTATGTACAATGGAATGAAATTATTTGAGGTCATTTGCTTATTTCTCATACATTGTTCCCTGCACACATTCGAGAACTTTGTTTTCGTTATCAATGGTGGCCAAAATCTTGGCATTTGAGCTTATCCGAGAACTTTGGGATTATGGTTTCTGTTTCTAGTTCTTCAGCTTTGTTCTCCACTGCCTCACAGTTTTGCTTGGTTGGATGATTTTATGCTCGAAAATTCGTATGAATTCCTAAAGTCTTTGCGCATATATGAGATAATGAAGTTGTATCATCTCATTAAAGAGAGGAATAATGAAAATCATGTTCAATTTTTATTTGTTAGTAGAGAAAATTTTATTATCACCAAAGAGATTAATGGAAGGGAGAAATGGAAGTTGTATTGTTCTCCCTTAAGATTTATGATTTATAGTTATGTAACATTATAACAATTGCATAATAAAATATTTTCGATGTTTTACTGTGGATGTAGATCAATGACCGAACCACATAATTTATTTGTGTCCTTATATATTTATATTTTTTTAAGCTAATATGTAGACTGTTGTTTATATTGGTGGCAATGAGATTATTTCGAGACTATTGTTGTTGTTGGGTTGTTGTTCTTGTTGGCTTGTGTTGTTCTTAGCTTGATATATATAATTATGAGCAAAGTGAATGTGCTGGTGCAATTATTTCTTAAACAATTTCATTGAGATTCAAAATTAAAAAGTGTTTATTCTCATTTGTTGCATATAGTTTCATCATGTCTAAAGCGCTTGAAGGGGGCTCGTCCGCAATGTGAGATAAAGAAGTAACAAATATTTTTTGTAATCTGTGTATTAAAGAAATAGAACTAGGGAACAGTCCAACAACGTATTTTAATAAGGGTGAAAAAACATTGCTAAGAGATTCAAAGAATTGACTAGCAGGGATTACGATAGACTTAAATTTAAAAACAAATGGGACCAATTAAAGGAGTGAAAAATATGGAAGGAGTTGAAACGTGGATCTACCGGTTTAGGTTGGGATCCTATTAAAAGGACAATTGATGCTTCAGCTGAATGGTCAGCTGAATGGTGGCTGAATGGTGGGCTTCAAAATTAGAGGTAATTCTCTATCTAATCCATAGATTGTTAGCTTCCTAATTTTTTTTCCTTAATTATAATTTCCTAATTACTCCCTCTAAATGCTATGTCACAGGCGGTACTGGCAGTGAAGAAGTATAAACAGTGCGGAATTGAGCCAAAATTTGAAGAAAAATCGGACGTAATATTTAGATGGGTTGTCGCAACGAGAAAATTTGCATTCAACCCTAGTGAATCCGATTTTACAGGGATACCAGATGAAATCACACATAAATCATTGGCACCCAATGAAGAAGTGTCTAGCATTAACCAGAGGGATATGGGGGAGTCCAGTACAGTTATAAAGAGGCCCAGAATTGCTAAGAAAAAAAAAGAGAAGGGACATTTTGTAAAAACCTCATTTGATCGTTTAATTGAAGCTTTTGCAGCTCCACCAATCTCCGATGCTAACATATTAGACTGTCTCAGTTTTTTGGGTACTATTCTTGAATCTGAAGTTGTGGTCAACAGGCGATTTCACGCACTGTGTGTGAAAAAACTTGAGGATTCAACTCGAATGAAAATATTCATGGCGTAGAGCCTGAATTGCGTCTCGAATATTTGCAGGTTTGGTTGATGAATGAATTTTTTTATGGATTATATGTGTATTGACTACAGTAATATGAACTTCTACTTATATCGTTTTTTATTTTTATGTTTTGAACTTCTATTCATGTACTTTTTTTTTTAATATGTTTGAACATTCTACATATGTGGTCTTTTATTTTTAAATGTACCTGTTAGTGGTTGAAACTTTATTTATAAGTTACGTATTGTATGTTCTGAACGTCAACAATTTATATTTGAAGTTTAATTGATTGGAAGTGTTGTAGGCATTTCTTATTATGCACTCATATTGTTTACATTTTAAATCATGTAGGATGGATCTGCAGCGTGATAGTCATAGGAGAATGGCATTTGCTACAGCCATTGCAATATTATTATTGAATTATTACTGGAATAGCACTGCTCACATTCCCCGCATGACATCTAGCTTTGTTGGAGATAAATGGGTTGGTAAAATGTTTTCTGGTCATCCAATAAGGTTCAGAAATATTTTCAGATTGTCAGCACCTACTTTTATGGATCTTCTGCAAGAGTTATGTCTAAATCACGATCTTCAGGGTTCTTCTAGGACGACGTGTAGGGGGGTGTTGGTTATAACACTGTACATTCTGACACAAAATGAATCAATTAGAGGAGCTATGGAAAGATTTCAGCATTCATCTGAAACTATTAGTCGATACTTTTCTAAAGGCATACAGGCTCTTGCTAGCTTAGCAGCTCAAATAATTAAACCAGAGGATCCATCATTTGCTAGCACTCCAGAATAAATTGCCAATGATCCTCGATACATGTCATATTTCAAGGTAACTATAAGTGTTTTTATTTTATTACATGTCATACTTTCATAATATTATTACTCTATAACGGACAATTAAACAGAACTATATTGGTGCAATTGACGGTACCCGCGTTGATGCCCGACTACCCAACCACAAGAAGGTTGCATACATTGGTTGAAGTGGTTCAACAACTCAGAATATCATGGCAGTATGCGACTTCAACATGTGTTTTACTTTTGTGATGGTGGGCTGGGAATGGAGTGCACATAACAGTCGAATTTTTTCTTTTGCCACTAAGAATAGATCGCAGTGTTTCCCTCATCCCCCATCAGGTTAGTTTTGCTTGAGCAATTTGTATATCTGAGCGGGTAATTTTTTTTTATTAACAGTTTTTTGTACCAGGAAAATATTATTTAGTTGATGTCGAATATCTATGTAAAGGGAATACATGAAGCCCTATCCTAACACAAGATACCATCTTCCTGATTTCGAGCGAGCAAGTGGCACCGTCCGTGACAGAAAGGAAATGTTTAATAAACGCCACTCATCTTTACGCTGGGTAATTGAAAGAACATTTGGAGTTTGGAAGAAAAAATGGGTCATCCTACATGATATGTCTCGTATCTTTTCCAAAAGCAGGTGCACATTGTGGTTGCAACAATGGCAATACATAACTTCACCCGAAGACATTCCTCACGATCAGATATAGACTTCAGTATGGCTGACAATAATGAACTGAATGTCTTCGAGCATCTTCAAGCAACCTCCAGGAATTGTGGGTGGGCAGTCATTACTTGATAATGATATATACTCTAATGAATTTGGAGATCATGATGGTGAAGGTATGGTGAATGTTTGGCTGATATGATTGCTTTAAGGGAGTCTATCACAGATGTTATATGTGACTGCAGATCTACGAAGTTTTTCTTTAAAAAGATTATAGGTTGATATTCATATGCATTTAGTTTTGATTTTTTTAAAATATCTTAAACTAACATTTGGTTCTTTTATTTTTTTCGCAGTTACACCAACATGACTTCTAGAATATCAGTTACAGACATAGGTCTTTTGTGTTATTGTGGACTACCATCTCCGTTGTTCATGTCACGTCAGTCTCATAGCTTTGGGAGGCAGTTCTACGGTTGTGTCAAGGGTGTTTCAGCTCGTTGTGGTTTCTTCTGGTGGGTTGATAGTCTCATATATTACACTGTCAGCAGTCATGGGAATCCGGTGTTTCTGAGGTTGATAGTACAACTGAGGAGAGACGTACCCAGAATTTGAAATTAAATATTTTAATATTTCTCATTGTAGTTGTACTTGTCTTTGTACTTTTTTTATTTCTTCTGGTACTCACGAGAGTGTGAGAATTGTATGTCATCTTTTGGAACTGATCTGTGATGATTGTATGCTTTTGCACTTGCTTCTGTACTATCAATAAGCTATTCTGAATAAACTGCCCCCGAACAGTTTTATCAGACAGAGGCAGGAATGTCATTTAACCATCAATAAGCTACTCTGAATAAGCTACCTCAAACAATAAGCCATATTATTCTGATAATCTACAGATTATCAGAATTATCTGCTTATCAGCAGATTATAAATAATCAACAGTTGCGTCAAACAGACTCTAACACATCAAAACTGTGTCATAAAGATATATGTGAGTCCGCCGAATTTGGTTTTATGCAGTCATTGAAGTAGGGTTATTTTTGTGCTATTGATTCAAAGTCATGATGTGTTACTTGTGTGGTATTAATGTGGTATTGTTGTATTTTTGATGTGTTACTAGTGTGCTATTGATGCGGTATTATTGTGTTATTGTTGTATTACTGGTGTGTTACTTGTGTGATATTGATGTGGTACTGTTGTGCATTTCATGTTTAGGTTTAGGTGTATACCGTAATTTTAACGAACGGTTGGACGCTATGGTCACCTTCCCTTGCATGCCGGAGAATGCCTAAGGTTTCACCAATAAATGAGGTAGTGCTTCGCCGAGGAAGACGATACGGAGCCTAAAACTTAAACTCGTAATAGTGCGGAGAAAATAAAATAGTGCGGAGAAAATGAAAAGGCTTTTTAGGCGGGTTCGGCTAGGGTCGGGTCAGGTCTCGAATAATATAAAATTTATTTTTCTTTTTCTTTTTTTTTGTGCTTAAATAGGTGGAGCCGGGCTTTCAACGAGGCAGCATTTGATTGACTACACACGTAGCTCTACATGCGTAGTACCGAGGCAATATTTATTCAGCTGCTCGGGTATAAATTAGCAATTAAAATGAACTATTCAACAAAATCCACTAAACAACGAGTTCAGCCTTCTTCAGTAGATATCTTGAATACACTGCCACAACAGCAAGTTAATGCGGTATTAAGGCCTCCATTGAAAGGCAGAGAAATCCCGCCATAATGTTTCCAGAAAACTTTTCGAATCCAAAATCAAATCAAAATCATGCATCAATAAAGCAACTGGAAATAGAAGGACTAAATTGATTCAAGCAGATGGATTGTTTAAGACGAGAAAAGAGGGCTAAAGAAGGACCTCGGACTAGCGGGGCCACGGCCAAGCTGGCCCTCTTCGTTTCTACCCCAAGCCCAGACTTCACCGTCGGCGTTTACAGCGAGGGAGTGGTAGTGACCTGCGGCGACAGTCGTGACGGTGGGGGGAAGCGATGTAACCTTCGTGGGCTCGTAGGCGTCAAGGAGCGGCGAGGCGATTCCCAGGGCTCCGTTGCTGTTATCTCCAAAACACCATACGGATGTGAATCTCCGGGATCCACCGCTACAATAGATTTTTGCAGAGACGACAGTGGCGCCGCCACAGGCGCGGAGAAGCGCGCCGTGGAACAAGCTTCGCTTCATGAAGTCGAGCTAAGCGTCCGTTGGAACGAGAAAATATCACGGCAGGTTCATATTGAGTCCAATAATGAGGCAGGGGAGGATCCGGTTTGACGAATTTAAAAAAAATTGAAAAAATTAATTTTTTTTTGTTTGACCCGGCCTAATATCTCATTGTAAAAAGACAAATTATATGATGATTATATGATTGTGATATTTAGGTGATATTTAGGTGATATTTTGATGGTATTCTAATGATATTTTGGTGATATTTAGGTGATATTTTGATGGTATTCTAATGATATTTTAGTATTATTTTGGTGATATTTTAATGATACATAGTAGTATAACAATGATATTTTAGTGGTATTTTGATGGTATACTTGTAGTATTTTGTTTGGATTATGTTGGTATTTTAGTGGTATTCTAGTGATATTTTTTTGGCATTCTGGTGATATTCTAGTGATATTTTTATAGTATTTTAATGGTGTTCATGTGATATTTTTGTGGTATTATGTGATATTTTTGTGGTATTATCATTGTATTCTGGTGATACTTTAACAGTATAATAATAATATTATTGTGGTATAATTGTGATATTTTGGTTGTAATTTGGTTGTATTTTAGTAGTATTATAGTGGTATTCTTGTGGAATTTTAGTGTTATTCTAGTGGTATTGTTGTGATATTCTGGTAGTAAACTAGTGGTATTCTGATGGTATTTTAGTGATAGTACTGTGGTATTCCAGTGATATTTTGGTGATATTCTTATGATATTCTAAAGGTATTTTCATAGTATATGATGGTATTTTCGTGGTATACATGTCGTGTTGTGGTTGTTTTATGGTGATATTTTGATGTTATTTTTGTGGTATTCTAATGGTTTATGGTGATTTTCTTGTGATATTTTTGTAATATTATGGTGGTATTGTGGTAATGTACTAGTTGTATTATAGTGGTATACTTGTGATATTTTTGTTGTATTATATTAGTATTTTGACAATATTGTGATGGTATATTTAAAATATTATGGTTATTTTATGGTAGCATTATGGTGATATTTTGGCATACTAGTAAAAAACCACAATTATATTAACATAATACCATCAAAAAATCACTAGTATATTGTCAGAATGTCATTAAAATATCAAAAAATACCACTAGAATATCACCAAAATTTCATAATAATATCACCATAATACAATTAGAATATCATTAATATGCAACATGAATATCACAAGTATATCAGTTGAATATCATAAGTACATCGTTATAATACCTATAGAATACCATTAGTACACTATGGAATATCATAATAATACAACCACAATACCACGAGAATATCACTAGTATATCACCATAATATCACGATAATATTATCAAATATCAGAAAAATGTCACCAGAATATCATCAAAATATCACCAAAATAATCACCATAATACAACAAAATACGTCAGAATATCACTAGAATATCACAGAAAATTGTTAGAATATTATCAAAATTTCACTAAAATACCAAGATAATATAACAAGAATGCGACAAGTATATCATCATAATACCAATATAATATGACCAAAATATCACAAGTATACCAACAAAATACCACAACTGTAAGAATACCACTAGTATAATACTAAAATACTACAAAAATATCACAAGATTATCATCAGAATATCTCCAAAATATCAAAAGTAAATCACTAGAATATCACAAAAATACTATCATAATACTACCAAAATATCATCATATAATATGACCATAATATCATCATAATACCATAAGAATATCACTAGAATACTACCAAAATACCACCATAATAAAACTAAAATACTACAAGTATAGCGTCATAACATCACCAATATATTATCCGAATACTATCATAATATAATTAGAATGCCAAAAAAATATCACCATAATACAACTTGTTTTTTTTTCGATGCAAGAGGTGGTCTTCGGGTCAAGTTGCATGAATAAATAGCATTTTTCACATTTTTCCAATTCATGAAATTGGGTCCCACCACTTTATAAATGATGTCGTACTATTGAAGTCCAAACACAAAATTTCGTTCAAACACCAGACATAAAAATGCGTTTGAACTCCGAACGTAATATTTTCTCCATTCAAACAGCTACAACACCCCACTATTAGCATTTTTATATTGGATAATCAGCATTAGCTCAACTTTAACAATTTTAGGGAATCCAAATATGAAATTTTAGATATGCGATAGATAATTGCATAAAAGGTGTTTTTTAAAATTAAATAACCTTATTTTTAAAGTCATTCAAAATAAATTTTAATTATTTTAAGTTTATTTAAAAATAATTAACATAAACAAATATATTTTAATTAAAGTCAAAATATAAATATAACTAATTAATAAAATAAAAAATAGAAATTAAAGTGGTCCTAAACAGCTCCTTACATAGCAAAGACAAAAAAAATTATTATTTTTTATTATAACATCTAAATTACTTAACACTGGTTTAAAAAATTGGCCATGGTGAAATGTAAGAACCAAAGCTTACGATTTCTTCAACTTTTGAATCGTATGAATTGTCTTTACTCTTTCGATTTCGTGAGTAATGTGTTCTCGCCCGGACACCTTCCTGATCGAGAGAATTTTTTTTTCTTTGTTGTATTCTCGATATTCCTCTCATGCTCGCCTACCGCCTTCCTCTTTTATTTATTAACTATCGAGCTTATAGCATCACTCACCCTAATCCATTGTTATGGAGCATCCTCTTCTCGCAGTTGTCAAAGCACTCTCTATATCTTGCACTCTATCTTGATTTCTTGCTCTCCCTCAGTATTTAAGGTTCCCTCCTCGATCCCTGACCGACTTTTCGGATACTTAGTGTTTTTGGATGAAAAAATTTAAATATAAAATATGTATTATAAATTTTATAACTTGATTTTTTCCACAATTTAGCACTACATACTAGATATTTTACGCAAGTATACGTATCGTTCAAGTAGTATCAAATTTTTTAGTCTGGAGTATCGATCCCACAAGAAATGTCGTTATTTTAAAGACTTGAGAAAAGTTCTAGCCTACAATAATAGGTTTGAGCCTAGAATTAAAGTCGATTTGACTTGTCTTTATAGAATTCTATCAAATCATTATTAACCCTAGTGATTTACTCTAAAGTTATTTTTACTAAAGCTAAATAAGTCAAGAAAGATTAAGTTATGAAAAATACCCTCCCCTTGCAATGAAGTAAGTAATTTGTGTAGGAATGCAACACATAGAATATAGATTGTAATTAGTGATAAATACGAGCATTCATCTTCTTTACGCTCTTTCGAGTGCATAAAGAAGTTTGGTTTAACTTTCTGCCTATCATCCTAGAACCATCAAAATTTATCTCTCTATCTATTTGCACTACCCTATGATCTACTTTTTCTTCACCTAATAGTTTAATATGGTTTATACTAGTTGGTAAGATCATAGCCCTCTCAAATCATTATAGATTCGCAACATGTTTTATTAATTGAGCAAAATGATAAGTAAATGAAGCAGAAAGTAAAAAACCATCACAATAATGAATAAAAACTTATTCCAAATATATCCACATATACTACACATACAATTATTTCATCACAAGAGAAAGGCAAAAATGATCTACTCATGATGCATGAAGTAAGCACAACAATTCATTATCTTATAATAAAAGAAATTCATACGCAATGAGTTCACAATTAATATAAGACAATAAAAAAATGAAACACTTATCTTTCTCCCTGATAAAAGAAATGAAAACTCCTCCCCAAATGATCTACAAGTTTTTCTTGCATTGCTTACAACAATCCTTTACAACATCCTCTCAATTCTCTATAAGAAAATACAGAAAAATACAAAATCTCACTTTAAACTCTCCTTTTCTACACACTCAGGCACTTTCCTTGGCTTCACAAATCATATTTCCTTTTGTTTGAATTGCTTATCTTTATTCATAACCTCCAAATTCATCCATAACTGCTACAGAAATCGCACAAGTTAGTATTGGCACCCAGGCGTTAGTCTGTGGCGCCTAGGTGCCACCATCTCGGGTAAGTAGAGCAAATAATTAGGGCCTAGGCGACGACCTGTGGTGCCATGATGCTAGGTTCTATATTTGTTGGACTTCAACTGACGCCTAGCCGCACATCTACGACACCATGGAGCCATGGAGCGACACCAAGATCCCGGAAGCTGGAGCCTAGGTGACTCGATCCGCAATTATGCAGTTATTTAGTTTCCTGACCAAAAACTTGACCCATTTTCTTTAGGCAGCTAGTGTGCAAAATGGGTAAGATGTTCCCAATCTTGGATGACCTTGATCTTGCTTTCTTCCATCATGAACATTCAATCTTTTATTTTATGCCCTAAGAATATCTCTTCTTGTTTGGCAATGGATCATTTTTCTTTCTTGATGTATAACTTATTTTCTCTTAGTACTTTAAATACTTATCAGAATGTGACAGGAACATTGGTTAGCCCAAAAGGCATAACCAAAAACTCAAACGACCAATACTTGGTCACACAAGTAGTCATTGGTTCATCTCCTTCTGCTATCGTCACTTGATAGTAGACCAATCGGAGATCCAATTTTGAGAAGTATCTTGCGCTCCCCAGTTGATAAAAAGATCGAGGATGAGAAAAAATGTGTATTTGTTTTGTTCTTCACGACAATCTTGTTTAAAGTCTGGTAGTTTATGCCCATGTGCAAGGAGCCATCTTTCTTTTTCTGAAATATAATTGGGACACCATATGGGGCTTTAGATGTCCAGATGAATTTTTGCCTCCAACAACTCCTTTAATTTTTTACGTAGCTCTGCCAGTTCTGGAGGTGTCATGTGGTAAGCTCTCATTGTTGGTGGGTTAGTCCCTAGTTCTAGATCGATCTGAAGATCCATCTCCCTTCTTGGTGACAGTTCTTTTGGTAATTCCTGTGGTGAAATATCCTTAAGCTCTTCAAGTACTGTCACCACTTCCCTTGGCATGTCTTCTTGGGGTTTCAATTCTTCATCGAACTCCTAAAGAATAGACAAGTAGCTCTCCTCCTCTCATCGGATGCTTTTCTTGAATTGCATGGTTGATAGCATTTTGGCTTCTTGCTCCCTAGCCCATTTCGTTGGTAATAGGCAAGCTTAGTTGCCCTCCATGATGCACATGTTATCAAATGGTATAGGGAATGCCCTCACTTGGTCCAAGAATTTTAGAATAAGGATTACCTTGAAATCATCCATGGGAATGATGGAGAAATTCAACATCCCTGACCAATCTCTGACACACGTCTTTACTCCTTTAGCAACTCCATGGATTGGCCTAACTGCTGAGTTGACTGCTTTGATGGAGCCTCCTCCTCCTGTTAATTGCAGACCCATCCTCTTTGCTTCTTCAATAGAGATGAAGATGTGAGAAACTCCCATTTCTATCATTGCTTTAGTAGATTTTCCACCTATGATCACCTTCACGAAGAGAAGTCCTTTTGTCGGGCTTTTTGGAGAGGAGCGCACCACGTTTAGCAATTGCATTGTTACCACCTATTTGTCCATATCGCCTCCCTCTTTTTCTTGATTACTTGCAATGAGAGAGTTTAGAGCCTTCTTCTGAGGGTAATCCCTTGCCCAATGAGGCCATCCATAGAGGAAGCAATTGTTATGAAGTCCGATTTTGCTATTAGACTTTCCCTTATCCTTTGCCTTTGATGGGGTCCATTCGCGACGGCTCTCTTTCTCCGCATTCTTCGGGCAAAACTGCCTCTTTATTTCTCTTTTGAAGTCATCAAAGGTAGATATGGTGCACATACCTTTCTCTATATCTCCACGCATTCTCCTCCACCACAACATAGCGATGCCCAAGAGATAAATAGCTGCAAATTGTATTCTCGCATCTTCATATGTAATCCCCATTGCTCTGAAATATTGTTCAAGTCCCCACAAGAAGTTATCCACTTCATTCGCGTTGCGAGCTCCTCCAAAACTTTTTTGTTTTAGAACTTTAATCCTCTTAGCTTCGAACATGTGATGGTTGGTGGATGCCACTAATGCCTTCTTGCATAACGAGATATCTCCACGTATTTCCTCCAAACTAGCATGCACATCTTTTATCTCTTCTTTATGGGCTCTTCGTACCTCGTGGAGCTCCTCCATCAAGTTCACCTGCATCTTAGTCATTTGATCCATTAGAGATTCCTCCTCGAGTCCATCAACCTTTTGTCCAAGATCCTCTATCTGGGCCTCCATGCCATTCGTTGCTTCATTCACCCGAGCAAGGCGAGAATCAATGCAGTGTATGATCTCTTTGGACCTCCCATGTGGTTTGGATGCAGCTGGATCTCTTTACTCCTGATGATCTCGCCCTTGTTGAGACGTTTCCACATTAGTAGCTTCAAACTCCATTACGCGTTCTTTAACCTCTTTGTCATTCATTCGAACCGAGACTCTCATGCCAATTGTCATGGACTAACTTATCTCTAGTCACCCGTGCAACTTTAGTGCTCTTCCTTTGCCTAAATCAGTCTATCGCTCACAACACTAGAACTTGAATGCACAAAACACACTAAAAAGAATAGAGAGAAGTATTAGAAAAATGAACACTTCACTAAGAGAGAAGAATTACAACACTTGAAAGATTGAAAGCTTTACTTAAAGACTTATGAATGAGTGATGAATCTTTATTTATAGTTTTCTCCCAAGCCTTACGAACTTTCTATAGTACACTAGAATAATTTTTAGATAGTTCTATATAATTCTTATCTATATACATGGTACTAAATCCTTCTAAATTATTTTGGAGTTTATCCTTAGACAATTTTCTAAAATAAGGTGAAATTTTCTAGAGTTGCCGGGGTTACTTCTCCTACATGTAGAGTCTTTGAAGTTGGTGGGGGTGTGACACTCAGCTCTCCTTTTTGGCGAGACCGCCGCCATAGTCCTCTCTCACGCGAAACTCCCCGGGGAACGTTCAACCTCCGGTGCCCTCCTCCGTGCCGGAGCTCCTATCCAAGGGTTTTTAGCGCGAGCATTTGATCTCTCTCCCGCCTCTGCCGATTTTCGCACGGGTCTTCCTCGGGCCTCCTTCGACACCGGCGGCCAGCTCCCGCAGGCCCTAGCCCTCTCTCACGCGAAACCTTAGTTGGCTTCTAATATTGCTGAACAAACAATTCCTTATATTTACTTACTAATTGAAAAAAAATTATAGCGACTTTAATTGTTGTGATGTTAGTTTTTTCAAGTTAATTGGTTATTTTTGCTGTGTTTTTTCTTTGATGGATACTATGGTTTTTTGGATTCCATTTTGCAATTGGAATATTTTTCCATAGTTCGAGGGTCTGCTGTGCATTGAGCTAAAGTTGTTTGACATTGATCTCCCAAGGGTGAGGAGTAGTGATGGGTCATTTGTTCTGGAAAAGAAGCGAGCTTTTATTCCTCATTCTCTATGCAGTGACATTCTATGTTATTGTCATTCAACGATCTCTGTACTTATCACATGGTAATCTCTCCCTTTAATTCTTTAGTGCACATAGTCAACTCACACACACACGCACCTAATAAACTGGTTTATCGTTGTCTTTTCCTTTAATACGCGATCACTAACACATTTTTCTTATTATTTTCTGAAGTTGTATATGTCAATCTTCAATTTTGTCACCTCTTCATAACACAGATCATTCTAGAGAACTTTACAGTCTTCGTCGAGGGTGGATGTTTAATCATCTAAATGTATGTTTATGGTCTTTATGTTATGGTTCTTTGTCATTTTGAATGGTTATTATCTATTTGTTCATCAATGATTCTGTCATTAGTTTCAATGGAAATATGCCATGGAGGATTGGTGAATGATACTTATAAATCTGCTCTTTCTTCCTTCATGATAGGACCTTTCTGATGCACAATGGAGAAACTTTCATGGAAATTTACCTATTCTTACAAATTTGCCTATTCTTACCTTTGTTTTCGGAATTTTCACTTTTGGAGCAATTGCCTTGAGAAACCAATTTAACTTGAAAGGGAGGGGCATGTCAGTTGTCTGGTTTATTATGTCGTTGGCATACATCTTACACTTACATGGAGCATGGTATGCATTTTGGTTTCTAACATACTATCTTTTTATTTCTTTGAATATCTTATTTTATTAACCCATCAACTCTTAAAATTGCAGTGTAGTGTTTGTCCTCTCAATTGCTTCAGTGAACTTTTTCCTCGCAAAGGTTTGCTCTTTTCTCTGGCTTCTTTTGAAATTTAAAAAATTGAAATTAATTGATAAGCATAACAAAATGGTTATCAGAAGTGAATTTAATAATATGGCCTCTTGAAATTTATATTGGTAAAATATCACTAAGTTATTAAGAAAAGTCCTAGTTCATTAAGCTCTTGCACATGCATGTTCAGGAAGGGGTTGTTTGAAGCAATTTTTTGGAAGCGGTTGTTTGAAGTAACTTTACTATCTAATTGACGGAGGGTTTGTTTCATGAAACTTTTACTGGTTGAAAACCTATATAATTTTTTTTTTTCAGTGTTGTAAATACTGAAATTAATCATTGAAAATTTTTGTTTCGTTTCAGCTGTTTATATGCATCCCAATATGTACTAACATTCAAAAAAGTTTCCATTCTCTGTCCATGAAATATGCAATTTTCAAAGCTCCAGTTACCTACTAATGGTTGTAGTTTATCTCAGGTCTTTGTGCTAAACTTGTATTCATTTTACAATTAATTTTTAGTTATATGGTTTCTATTTATTATTGAAAATAACTATTTGTGTCTCTCCTATGAATTCCAAAAATTGTGACCATGGAATGCAAATTTTATAATTCTTCTTCATTGCTGAAATAGATATCTATTTAGGTTAGTTGAATTAAACTTATCATCATTTCTTATTCAAGAAATAAGTTCTTGATTTTTCTTGACATGGATCATAAATTTGTGCAACTCATTCCTGATAATCTAATTTAAGGTAATACACCACGTATTAAAATTCATGATGTCTTGAACTTAGGAACTTGCTCCTAATCTCGAGCCCAATATTAACATTATCAGTTAGAATTTAAATATTTAAAAGTAGAGATATTTCTATATTTTTCATTTTGTTTCTTACTAATAACTTCATGTGTTTATGTTTAAGAAGTTTTGTCATCTTTTTCTTAAAATTTTCCTTAATTTTGGCAGATTTTGGCAAAATCAAAATTTTACTTATATGTGCTATGGATTTTCAACATATCAGTTCTTTTGTTAAACCGCATCTATGAAGGATACTCTTTCTCTTTATTTGGGTTTGTAACATAAAGTTTGAGGTATTGAATTCGTTTATCTTCCAACTCTATTTATTTAGTCTGAACTTCATTTACTTTTCATCAAAAGGAATCACTGGGCATTTTTGGACAATTACCGCGGCTCTTTTCGATGGCAAATCTGCTTTAATCTTGGTAATCGACACAAAATGTTTGTTCTTGAAATCTTCTGTACCTGAATTTATCTGTAACCTTTGAATGCTGTCATCTAAAGTCTTGGTTTTGTATTTTACAGTCAAGATAATTAAGTCACAGATCAGTGGAGCAGTCTAATTGTGTTTATATTTTAAGCTTGCCATTACATTTGTTTTCCAAATTTGATGTTCATTTTTTTTATTTTCTTGTGCTGCTTTGCCTTAATTGTTTCAGCTACTACCTTTCTAACCTAAAATATAACAAATGGGTCAGAGCAGCTTTGAATGCTATTTGTTGAATGATTTACGGAGCTTGTTTTCCCGCCCACGTTGTGCTTCAACTGACTTTCTATATTTCGGTGCTCTCAGCATTTGATTCACTTGTCATTATTCTGAACGTGACTCAGAACATACCATCACGTTCTATTGTAATCTGTTTGAGAGGGTTCGGTGCATTGGGGGGTAAATTTCTGGAATCTGTGCAGTTACTTAGATGGATATACCGATTACCAATTTATAGGTCTGCACTTAATGATTCGTGTGGGTTAAAATAATTATGAAAGTTTGAATTTTCCATTTGCTTGGCATAGACCCATGATTCCATTGTTGCATATTATTGGATTTCAATGTAACAGTGATCGGATTTTTGTGCTGTTGACCTTAGATTATTTATTATTGGGAGCATAAATTGGAGCCTGACCTTCTTTTCCTGGAAAGAGATTCCAAAAAGCGGATCAGATAGTGGGACTGAGATTTTGTTTTGTAATGTTCTTTTCTGCATTAATTTTTAAAAACTGATCATACCACAATTTTTATTTTTTATTTTATTTTTTTTGAGGAAAATACCTTGTCTTGCATGCACCCTGCCATGGACATTCAAACATGGAGATTGAACTTTTTGAGCAGGTTTTCCATCCAAAGGAGAGTTATTATTTCTATTTTTATTCATTGGACGTAATATGACATTACCACATGAGACCTAAGGCTATATAGCTGTGCTTGGTCAATGGTTTGATATGTGAAGTGCTCGCCCTTTGATAAGGAGGCGTGGTTATCATAATAATGTTTTCCAATTTTTATCTTTCTTTCAATGTTTTCTTCTACCAATTTGACTTTGTATGTTTTGAATCACGGAATTGCCTCTACAATATAGAGATCTATTGTATACATTAATTCCTTTCTTGACATTACATTACAAGAAGCCGAATGCTCTAAGTGGTTCCTTTTTGTAAACCATGTGAAGTTTCAAAGGCAAGACTTGTGATGTGGTACATACATGCCTTCAAACATTCCAAATCAGTCTACAAAAGTCCATGTACTATGGGCCATTTACCAGAAATCAAATCGGAACATAGAATAAGTAAAATTAAGCATACATAAGTCTTTTATTAATATCATTTAAAGCAAAAGCACATTTGGTTACAATAACATCCATTAATTTAAATTTTTGGTAAATGTTTAGAGAATCTTTATGATGTTTCAGTCTATAGAATTTAGTATTTACTATCTGTGTGAATATTTTGTTGATTTTTAGGTCTATGTTTTCAATTCATTTATTTTATCATGCTTAACTAATATAATTAAGATTTTTTTGCTGACCGTCGTTTTATTCATATCCAACTAATAAGGGTAAGGAGTAGTGGTGGGAAATTAGGCATGTATCATGTGGGCCCAAAAAAAAAAAGGAAGAGAAAAATGTGAGGGACCAGTGGGTCTCAATAAAAGAAATGTAAGGGGAAAATGGGGGAGAGATTATTATTTGGATTTACCTGTAATGTGATTTTGAATTGACTCTTTTGATTTGGAGAGAAGTGATGTGCTGTTCTTCATTTTCTTGTGAAACACATGCTATTAACAAAACGCCCGTCACATTGCTTTAACGGATTACGACAAAGTGTTATGCGGTCAACTCCGGCTTAAAGTATAATCTTGGTTGGTTTGCTTCAATTTAGCATCTGTATCGTAATAACTAGGGTTTGGACATTCACTTCTCATCATTGGTTATTGTGGTCATTGAATTTTTGCTCTTTATTTCTTCATACTTTTATTTTGGAGTTAATTTGTGAGTGAATAGAGCCATCTTAAGAAGTGTCCATTGTGCATTTAAAATGTCTGTTTTATTTGTCTACATTTTCCTCTACTATTTGTACACATTTATGCTTTCAAGGTGTTTTTATGTGCAATTGCAGGGTGCAGGTACTAATGAGAGCTTAAGGGCACATTAATGAGGCATAGGAGCAAACTCAAAGGAAGCATCCTAATTCTTTGTAGCATGGTGTAACTACACCCACTTTAAGAACCTTGTCGCCACATTTGCAGGAAGCAGGCGCCAGCTTCAATCCCATGCCACTCCCATAATCGAGAGAATAGAATTGCTGCGCTAGTTTATATGGCACATAGGCACCTGAAGCTGATGCTACTACGCCCAAGTGTTGGAGTAGCTGCGTCAATGTGGTGGTGTGGCTACGCCCCTTAAGGACGTATATATGCGATTCCTAAGCGGGTCCAACTGAGAGTGGGACATTCTAGCACCGCTTTTGCAGAAACTCAACGCCATTTTGAAATCTTAATCTAGTGATATTACATGATAGAACCTTTGTGCTGAGAAGGAAGTTGTGGTAGTTACCTCTTCCGTGGCGATCTGTGGACATATATGGAGCATTCAAGTGGGATGAATAACTCTCTCTGTTGTGTCTCGTGTTTTTCTTTATCAGTGAAAGAGTAAAATTTTGTAAGGAAGAGAGTCAGAGAAATTTTTAGGGTGACTGTGAGAGTATATTGCAGGGACAATTCAGGAGGACTGCCCTGTAGTCTTAGTGCTCATCAGTCAACCATGAAGAGGATTGGAGAACAAAATTGCAAATGAACGGTGTAACTTTTCTTGATTTTTCTTTCTTTACATGTGTACTATATTTGCTTTGATTAATAAAATGTGTTTTGTTTAGTTTAAAAGCATGAATAGTTACTTCTCCATTGATTTGGTGAATAGAAGTTCTAGGATTTAATTTTTGTGTGCATAGAAGTTCTATATTTGCTTTGTGAAATTTTAACCTTTCAGTTTTCATTAACATTTAATCTGGTCAATTGAGTTGTTAAGACTTCTGAATTTTGAGTTTTAGAATGATCTTTAGTGGAACAACTAGGTTAAAACTCATCAACTTAGAAGAATATATGAATATTGCTCTTAAGTTAGTGCAATCTTGTTAGAAAATACTGAATCCTAGGATTTTCACTTGTTTTAGGGAGTTAAACTTGTTTGATGTCCTAACTTATATTATCACCGAATGGGGCTAAAGAAGAAATTTATTCCTGATTGTCACGGTTAATTAAGTCACTTTGTTAATCCTAGACTTTTAGGACTCAATTCAGGGGGGACACTCTCAATCATTTGAATACCTCACATATTTAAACTAGGATTTTCCTCTTGGTTAAAATTAAGCTTAGAAACTTTCAAAAATCACCAAAATTCAAGCTTTTAGGCTAGACTCAAAACTATTATGGTAGAATCTTTTTAGACTTTAAGAATTCACTCGTTTATGAGGGATTGATACACAAGCTCATTTCCTTATACTACTTGGACGGCACATATATTTGTGTGTATGGGCGGTGCTTCATAACACTTGGTTTATATCAAATTTTAGGCACCGTTGCAGGGAAACAATGTTGAATTTTCAATTTTATGAAGATTTTAGTTAAACCGTTAGAGTTTAGATTTGAATATTGTTGCGTTGTACTTCTATTGTTTTTTACTATTTGTTGTCTTAGAAAATTTAAAAATATATCACGTTTTGTTCTTCCTGTTTCTTGCATTAATTTAGCATTGTGATGTTTTACTGCATTTCAGTGATTGTGGAATTGTGTGATGTGTTTTATTTATAATTTCAACACTTATTACTGTTTAGCTTCTTGTTCTTAGTAGTTTGTTTGTGGTGAATTGTTATTTCTATTATAGTTAACGACTCTTACTTGTTAGGTCTAGTGTTGTATATTTTTAGGATTGGATTGGCTAACTTAGTGTCTTTCAACCTGAACTTGAAAGAACTGTGAAAAGAATCAGAAAATTTTAAAAACTAAAGAAGAATGTTGGAGAGATGACAAGCTTACCTTAGAAAGAAAGTATTATCTCTAGAAAAAAATCTATTTGAGTTTTAACAGATCTACCATAAAGGCCACTTTATTTGAACTGAAATTAGCTATTATCTAGATGATGCAAAACAATCAGCTTGGCCACAAAAGACCTCAACCCCCACATAGTTTTTTAAAATTTTGTGCCGCTTTTAGGTATAATGTTGGTTCCAATGCCAACCTTTAGACTAAGGCTTTCCCTTTTTTATTTAGAAATAAGGCTAAAATATGAATCAATTTCTTAGCACCAGGTTCATTTACCCCATGGGACGATTTAGCCAAAAAAATTCCTGGCCAAATATTTTTCCTTTATCTAAAATGATAAACTTAGGAATGATGTTGAAGCACACAGAGATTAAAATCACTTGATTTTTGTTGTCCATTGTGGCCCATGAGTCAGAAAACTTACCATAAAAATTTCAAGTCATTTGGAGATCATTTAATATTTTTAATTGATTTTTAAAAGTGACCATCAAATTTGAAACTTAAAT